CTTGAAGACGTAATCTTAAATCGGCCTATTTAGGCTTTTTCTCAAAGAAAAACTATATATAAAATCTTGTCATGTAATTTTTTTTAGATAAACGAAAATGTAAATACGGTCACGTGTACATAATATGATGCTTAATGTTATTACAATGTTATAGTAATACATGTAAAGTTAGAACGTCCCACAGCTGAGGCCAGGCCTCCTCGCGTTTTTGAGAGGGTTATGAAGCAATTAGTTTACCGCGTTGTTCCAGTGCTCGATGGCAGTCTTATATATTGTCGAAATATTATAATCCTTAAACATGCCGGTTTCTTTTTAGATATTTACCTTTGAAAGGAATGTAGTAGTAAGTGTGGTAGTAAATCAGTGCTTAAAATTACACTCAACCATTTTACAAACAAACCGGATTGTACGCGTGCGTTCATTTACGCCTAGCTAGTTTGGCTAACCACGGCTCTAAAATATTAAAGGCCTATTTTCCTTTTAAACAACACGATTGAAAAAGCTCGACAAAAATATTCAATATAGTCTAAATACCAATTGAAATACCTTTTTCAATAAGAAAAATAATCTTTTTCAGAAGCCTGTGTAACGCTTCCTCCCCCCCCCCTCTCTCAATAAAAATATTATATTAAATATAATTAATTTAACCCTTTTCGATAAAAATTATATATATGTGACCAGGATAAATAAGATATGTTTTGATCTTTCTAAATGATCTTTCAAAAGGTTTATTAATAGGCCGTTTGTAATATTTTGGCGTGATCGTCTTAGTTAGGACCCTTATTTACGTTGTGTTTGTTTAGTAACTTAGTTCTTTTAGGTGTCTTTTGGAAGAATGAATATTCACTAGAGTAATTGAAAGCTGTTGGTAGTGCCTTATAAGCTAAGTGAACCCCGTTCACGAAGACAGGGCTCGAGAAAGGTTAAAAACATTAATCGTCCCTATTCCACTTGTATCAGGTTTACATTATTAATTTTTTATTAATTATCCCTTCCCACTTGGAAAAGGCTCACAATATATTTATACAAAATACCCGATACAAGGGCTTCGCTCTCCTACATTTATTTAAAAAAATGTAGGGGAGGCACACGGCTCCACACACGCCGTGCGCGGTGAACGCCAACCATTTTGATGCACTCCCCCCGAAGGGAAAGCTAAATCGGGAACTGGACCGTAGTCCACAGCAAAATAACTGGCGAACCAGTAAAAGAGGCTTGGCCCCTTGTTAGTGCGTAAGCACAAACATCGACCGAAGTCGCGCATGTCAATGCGTGTAAACGCCATACAGAATACGAACGAATCCAGCCACAGTGAATGTACATCACACGGTTTAGGCAAATAGGCACTCTGGCCGTAAACCCTCCGTGAGCGCCACCACCTGCCAGACCGCCGCTCCTGCAGACGTGATGTAAGTGTATGGCATCACCACCAGTTGCATGATCAGCACGGCTACTAGCCGCAGAGCGTGTCATGAGTCTACCACTCACCTCAAGGGAATGGGGTCCCACGTTGTGCGGCTTTCGGCCGCAGCCTTTAGAATCTCCTTAGATCCTCCTGCCAGCTACCACCCGCATGAGGTCGACACATATGCTCCACCAACCAATACAACGGCAGATATAGCCAAAAGGCAGTTATAAGATAAGAGTAATAATTCGCCATCAGAAAGGGTTTGTGTCACTGACGTCGAGTAAATGCATTTTCGATCATGTTTGTCTCACCCACCAACAAGTTGCCTTCAATCATTCAAAGGTGGGAAAGTTACAGAGATATATTATTATGTTGTTATATAAAACATCGTGGAGGGCAGACAGTCTGCAGCTCCGTAATGAAGGGACCCGACTTGGGCAAAGCTACTTAGGTGTGAGTCAAACCAAGACGCAGAGAGCACCATTGAGAATAGCGTCCCACCAAACAACCTTCGCGGAGACGTAATGCTGCAGAACGCAACAAGCATCAATACGACTATCGTCGGGCTTACACCATCCCAAGGTCCCCACACACACACATCACAGCAGACAGCACCACCCGCATACCTCCATCGACCAGAACCACAAGAGTGCGTCGAATCAGGCGCAGCACACCCGCAGATTCATCACAAGACGCAATACCACAAGTAGCAGTAAGCATCAATGCAACTATCATACGGCTGGCGCCCCCTCACAACACACCTACATGATCCCTATCGACTTTGGTAACAAACTTTGTATTGTTGTTAACAAAAAAATATCACCAACGTATCATATTAGCACGCTACTAAGACGCCAGTGAACAAAACTCCACGTATCATAGCGCTAATGCACTAAGACATGAAGTTGAGTGTGCCTGTTATACTTAAAAGTGCTACCAAACACACTCATCCCAATCCGAAATATAGACGACGCATCGCTATGCGCTACGACGCCGCCCACAAACGGTATGGGTGTGCGATATCCACGAGAAAGCCGTATTGCTACAACAAACCCGTTTACCACCGGCACTAAGATGTTAATTGTATACCTCCGTCGACCAGAACCACTAGAATGCGTCGAATCAGGCGCAGCACATCCACAGATCCATCACAAGACGCAATACCGCAAGTAGAAGTAAGCATCAATGCAACTATCATACGGATGGCGCCCCCTCACAACACACCCACATGATCCCTATCGACTTTGGTAACAAAGTTTGTATTGTTGTTAACTAAAAAATATCAGCAACGTATCATAGTAGCACGCTACTAAGACGCCAGTGAACAAAACTCTACGTATCATAGCGCTAATGCAGTAAGACATGAAGTTGAGTATGCCTGTTACACTTAAAAGTGCTGCCAAACACACTCATCCCAATCCGAAAGATAGACGACGCATCGCTATGTGCTACGACGCCGGCCTCAAACGGTATGGGTGTGCGATGTCCACGGGAAAGCCGTATTGCTACAATAAACCCGCTTACCACCGGCATTAAGATGATATGTCTAGAACATCGGTTAGCGAGTCCAAATTTACCTCGGACCAATTGCTCGTGAAGCAGCATACACGCCACCATAATAATCCTCTTTCAAGTCCCTAATAAGGACTGGTCATTTTGCTACAGTACTAAGAGCAGTCGGTCATCCGACCACCCCATATAATGCTTATGCATCAAGGAGACCTTCTATAATAATGCTTTTGTATCATAGACCTTACTTTCATAAGTCATTAATATGTAGGACTTCAACCCACGATTCTACTATTGTAATGCTATTTCATCATGGAGACCTTCTATAGTAATGCTTTTGTATCATAGACCTTACTTTCATAAGTCCTTCATATATAGGACTCGAACCCACGACCCTACTATTGTAATGCAAATTCTAGGTTTATTAGGCTATTAAGGTCTATGATACAAAAGCAATACTATAGAGACCTTCTATAGTATTGCTTTTGTATCATAGACCTTACTTTCATAAGTCATTAATATATAGGACTTCAACCCACCACCCCACTATTGTAACGCAAATTCATCATAGAGACCTTCTATAGTATTGCTTTTGTATCATTGAGTTTATTGGACTGCATGAAAATTATGGCTAACCCTCGAATGAGGCCCAAATAAAACAGAATTTGTTTACGGACTGATGACAAGTATGAGGTTCAGCTTCGTTTTTGTACTTTGAAAAACAAGTATCTGCCCGCCGCTTATGCTCGCCTTAGGTAAAGAGATTTTTTTAAATTTCGTACACAAATGTAGTACACTTAGGAAATTGTTTTAATGTGTGTCATATTAAATTCGAAACCATATAAAGCTTACTTCTCTCGTTTTCTCCATTCTTTTCAATCAGAAAGGTTAATAAATATTAAGATAAGAAAAATATCTCATTACGGAAATTTATTTTGTAGACTTGTCTAGATTACCAATTATAGTACCTATCTGGTTCTAGCGATCCCATCAAGACCGAAATCAAAATTACATACTTTACTTATTAATTAATTACATAATTTACTTGAATTAGATCCATATATATCCAATGTTTTAAACTATAATTCAAACACAATGTTTAAGTAATGTATTAACAAAAAATTCTTAGAATTGTGGTGTGTTACGGAATGTTATGATGGGAAGTAGGGAATGCAATTCCGCAAGATAATTTCAATCCAGGTATTTGCTGGATTGAACCATCTTAGTCCCGCTGGATCCAGGTATTTGATGGATCCAGCAGGGTGGAACTAGACCTCTGAAATCTAAATTAAAGACTTCGTTTCCATGGTTTTAATTTGAAGCCAAATAAAACAAGCCTTTTGGTATATTTTAAATGGTTTATTTATTACTTTAGACATACAGATGATGACATAAATTGCAGTGATAATTAAACATTATTTTGGAAGTAGCTTCTTAAAAAAGTTAAAGTATTAATTGTGTCATCTGCTAAACAGCTTCTGATATTGCACACAAGGTAGCCAGCAGCTGAAAAAGCCCGCTCAGCTTCCACGCTGGTTGGTACAATAGTCATAAGTGCGTTATAGGCGAACTGAAGGTAAGTGCCTTTTAATCCACCCGACTCGAAATAGTTTATTTCCTTCTTTACCAAAACCTTAAGGTTACTCATACTTCCAGACCTAGGTGGCTGGTAATATATAATTTGGCATAAGTTAAATCCACACAGAAAGAAACCGAAGAGTTTAGAAGACTGAGCTACATTTGATATCCGTATACCAAGAGGTAATAAAGCATAAGTCACATGGCTGTAGAATAACTTAAATGGGTAAAGTAGGATATGTGACGATTCACATCATTATGCCAAAAGGTAATGGAGCACAAGAAAAGGTGAATAGCAAAAACATCGCACACACGCACACACGCACACACGCAGACTCACGTCTACACAAAACTTCGACTGCTAATTTTACCGGCTGAAATATTCGTTCTAGATCAATTAGCACATCATATTCCTTTTCAGTGAAAACGTAGTCATTATTTGCACCAAGACCTAAGTCAATCAGGGTTTTCGATACGCACGATCTTATTTTGATGAATATTGTTATCATTTCGCACAGGCTTGACCACCTTGTTTGACAATCCAACAATTATTTTTTCCCATGTCTTTTGTCATATACGTCTGCAGCAGATCGTTTTTAGTAGGTGAATTTTTAAATAGTTTTACTACTTTTCGTACCTTCTTAACAAGTTCTGCATATTCCACAGTCAGGTTTATTTCACTTGTAGGTGTAGGAAAAGACAAATCAAAAATGTCATTTTCGTCATTTTCCAAGTCATTGTCACAATTCTCATCAGCTCTTTCACTAACTGTCTCATTTCGCACTGACATTTCTTCATTTGATGCTTCGTGGCCACTATGTGAAGAAGTATTTTGTTTATAAGTAACATCCAAAACAGCCAATTGGATGCCATGTGCATAACAGAGTTGTTGATGGGGTTGAATGAGTTTCCCAACTTTTACCATGACTTTGGCACCATCTGTGGTAATACAGATTACATCCTTATCCAAAGATAGCTCGTATTCTGATAATTTTTCTTTTAAAACAGTGATACATGTTTCTGCAGGTAGACTTCCGTAAAACCGCACCAGCCCTAAGTTCCAAAAAATAGATTTTTCATTAGACAAGGCGTAAACATTATCGTTTAAATAGCGCCTATTTCTCGTTGAAGTCCATTCGTCGAATGTGAGGGTGAATCTGTGGTTGCTCTCTTTCAGCTTTAGAAGATCACGAATAATGGTAATTTTTACAGTCGTGCCGAAATGCATAACCATTAATTTGATAGAATTAGGCGATTTTGGTAACTTATAGCCCCCAGCTTTAAAAAGGTCTCGTAAATCCGACGAGGTGCAGAAAACCCGGAATGGAAAACCATCTTTTGACACCATGCGTGATACCCTCGTTTCTACAGCACTTTTTGCACTTGGAAAATGGTCAGTGATTCTGTGCTTCTTTGCAGAGGTTGATGGTTGAGCTTCACAATGAGTCGATGTCGAGGAACTGGACGTTGACGCAGTTGCAGAAGCTGCAGCACTTCCGCTCCCGTCTGATGCACTTTCCTTGTCAATTTTGTGTTTTGACTTTAGATGCACATGTAAACCTTTTGTCGAACGTCTGGTCGTTTTAATTATTGATTTACACAACTTACATTTTGCGGTTTGTGAATCTTGGGCCTTCAAAAAGTACTTCCATACAGGAATAATACCGCAAAAGTCTTTATACACTTTTTCCGACGTTATTGTCACTCATTAAATAATAAAAAAACTGGAAATTTCTCAGTTTATTCAGTTTTATCTAAATAAATCAATATTCTATGAAAAAATCACTGCGTAACGTCATAATCACCAGTTGTAACTGGCAAAATATTAAGTAACAAAGGTTAACAAAGGCGGGGGAATCGCCGCGCCCTCACACTGTTTCTCTGCACCACGCATAAGCGGGCTACATACGACACGATATCGGTAGCGATCTAGGGTGGAAAGAAGTCGGGGCTTTTATCGGGGTAGACCTTACACACGGGCCTGCCTAGCAGTACGCGTTCGGACTTGGAGCGGAATGCATATGCGGTAGAGTTCTTCAAAATACCTCCGACTCTCTTAAAACACCACCGTGTTGGTTTGGCATTAGCCATCTCGGTTAATTTATTCGAAAATAGAAAAAGAAAAGTTGCTGGGTGAAAAAATGGCTCCAAAAGAGATAAAAATTAAGCCACATAAACGTACTAAATGGCCTGTAATCCAAGGACGTGATTAATTTTCTCCGGATGGATGAAGACAGTTTTTATAACCTTCTAGAAATAATTTCGCCACTTATATAAAAACGTCAATTTCTCCTACCTATGCTATTTAGTTATTTCTTCTCTTTGTTCATTTCTGCTTTGGTCAAAATCTGGTTATGTATTACACACAACAAACAAGGAAATAAAATACTTTTGTATAATAATATGAATACTTTTTTTTTAATGTAATCTTTATTTATGGAGTAAAACTATCAGAAAATAAAATAGCTTATTTCTTTTTTTAAACATAAAGAAACCTTTAATTTCGGACATAATCCCTTTTATATAACTTGTTTGTTGATGTAGAGATGGTGAAGGAGTAGAAGTTAGTTGTTGATAAGAGGATGAAGGCACGTAAGAGATCGAAGTGTGGTCTTGTGGAGTTGTAAGAGATATGAGTGCGGTCTTGTGTTGATAGCGTTGGAATAGGAGTTAGTTGTTGAGGAGAGGCTTTATCTTCTCCTTACTTACATCATACACTCTACTTTACGAACGGCAATAAAAAATTAGTTTAGTAGGCATTCTTGACCATGTCACTTCGCAGGGTCACAGGCTAGGGTGGATATGATTTGAATTTCGATAAAATTTCAATGAATTTATTTATTTTATTCACTTTTGGTTTTTTGTAAAATATCAGTGCCATAGGCTTCTACTCCGTTTTTATAATTAAAATGTAAAAATTTTGTTATATAAAAAAGGTCATTCAGTATCACTGTTTTGTTAACTTCCTTCCGCGAGGGTTGCCGGCAGCGACTGCCAAAAGAAATCGGGCCGATGCGCCTACACACACGCAGTAAGGAGGGGGCGGTGCCCCGATCTAGGAAGCATCGGCTGATCTAGGAAGCATTTTTGCTCCTGCCAGCCGATTAAGGAGGCGATATCGGCCACGACTTAGGATGGCCCTACATACGACACGATTTAGAGGCAATCTAGGAGGCATCCCCACTACTCCACCCTAGATCGCCACCGATATCGTGTCGTATGTAGCCCGCTATAGCTTAGCTCAATTTACGCGCCGCCGCGCGAACATTAACACGTATGGACCATGCTTCTCGGTAATCCCGCCAATCCAGCGGGATTCTCGTACGAGATTAGTCCCGCAAAATACATGCGGGATCCAGGAATACGGTGTTATGCATAACGCAAACAAACCGAAGCCAAAATGCTTTTTCTTCATTCTTTATATTTATATTTACTTAAACTACAAAGTAATTAAATATCTTACTGAGATGGGAAGAGTTACAAATTAGAGAAAGATTATCGAAAGACAATTTTCATACTAGTAAGTCCTTAACTTATTGAAAAAAAAATCTTTCTTTAGAATAAACAAAGAACTATTAAACATATATTATTTTTTGGAATATTTGGATTAGAAGGGATGTAAAACTCTCGTATGGGACGCTACTTGCGTATACACTTTGCTAACATCTGAAGAGTAAGTTTTGCAGCTGTGTCGGCATCAGAGGCAGCTGAACTAAGTGGCGCAAATAGCATTCTTAGAGAGATGACTACTTATTTGTGCCATTTTCTGTAGAGTCTATTAGTCCTTGAGGTTCATGTGTGGTGAAGTTCCTAACAGAACTCTTTTGGCGACTGGTCCCTAAATCCTAAGTCCCTAATATAGGACTAGTCATTGTGCTACAGTACTTCAAGCAGTCGGGCTCCCGACCACCCCATATATATATATATAAAGCTGCAGGTATGTACCTCCGGCAGCTCCTCCATACAAGACCGGAGTATACATGAACACCTTCCATAACTTAGGAAAATTTTCTTTTATACATGAATTTCCTCCGCAACAATTTTTAACAAATTTTCTAATTATCTTATAAACGTTATTTATCTTTATTTTTATAATTTTTTCGACTTGTATTGTATGTATTTCTATTGTTTATCATGATTTAAATATTTTTTTCAAGTTTTGTAATAAATTTATTTATTATGGAAGACAATATTTTTGCCTTTAATTTACTATGTTATTGGTCTAATATCTGAAATGTATTTATATTAACTTTATGCTTATTAATGTAATTTTATTGCTTAATATATATATTTTAAGAATATTTTTGATGCCCCCTTTATATTGAATTTAATTATTAATAATAACATTGGGCCGTCACACCTGGAAGAATCACGCTTGGCAAGATGATATTATTTCCAAAAACTTATTTCTATATTGTAGTGTAAAATCATCTTTGATCATTGTACAATGTAATATTCTAATATATAAAAATCACTGTTTGTTTGTTCTTATCTTAGTAAAATTATTGCTTGCACTTGCCGGAAAATTTATTCGTAGGTCGCGCGCGTTTGGTACCGACTAATTAATTTGAAAGTCAAATATTATATAATTTCAATGAATGTTAAATATTTAACTTCCTAAATGAATAATTCTTTCAAATTTGAAATGATATTTCCAAGATTATTTGTTATGTGGCAGCAATGTGCCGGGTACCAGATAGTTTAAATATAAAAAAGCCATTAGGTGGGTAATGACCGCAGTTGTTACGGTTGACATACATATGTGTTAGCTTCCATTATAGTGTTATTTTAAGAGAATTTTATCGGCAAATTTTGGGTAAGCGCAGACCGAACTGCAAAATGCTCGCGCACACTCTCCTCCTGAAGTTCGTTATACTTTACGAAAACTTATCCAGTAAGATCCATTTTTCAGATACATTTTCACATTCTTTCAAAAAATTTATTCCCATTGTGTTTGTGTGCTAAATATGTAAGATCAAAACAAAACCTAACTACCTGACCTATCCTATCTTTTTTTACCCTACCCCAATAAGGAACGGACTTTCTCATAAAGCATGGTCAGTTTAAATATTTCAATAGTTTTTATCACTTTGCCTACTCACATTGGGCATTATTCACATTATTTTACAGGCATTATGAATAATTACCTGTTAATGACTCGTTCCATAACATATACGTTAACAACACCTTTATAATATAAGACATTACATTACATAAAAAATAAAAAACTTAATTATTTTATTTGTTTATTTATTTATTTAATCTTTACTATACACCTTATATAATACTAAGGGATATAAAGGGCGGACTTAATGCCTTATGGCATTCTCTGCCAGTCAACCCTGGATGATTTGAGAAACTGTGGCAGGTGTAAGCAATCGCTTCATAAATAAATAATATAAGGATATTAAACAAAATAAAATGCAAATGAATAGAATAGAATAGATATATAGTGAGTAAAATATACTCACTATATATCTATTCTATTCTATTCATCTTTATTTACCATATACTTACTTAATATATAATATAGGATAGATAACAAATATATAAACGGGTACTTCTATACAAAACTGTAAGTAAATAAAATATTATGAGACAAAAATAAAATAACACAATACAAATTTAAATATATTATAAATATTATTTATTAAAATACATTATATGTTATATATTATTATACATTATAAATTATTAAAATACATTTTAAATATTGATACAATTTATTAAATATATCTTACGGATCTGAGACGGACCACGTCTTCACTGGTGGCTTCGCTGAGCGACCTTGAGCGTCCTCATACGGACCCAGAAATGAGGATATCCGCAGAACCAGAGTGACCGACACATCATCATCACACCCCTCACAACCACCCCCCAACCCACCCCCCACATAGCCCAACGGATTAGTAAGCTGAAGTGGCAATGGGCCGGCCATATAGATCGAAGAACCGACCTGGTAAGACATGCAGGAAGTCGATGGATGCAGGTGGCTCAGGACCGTGCTTTGTAGCATTACTTGGGGGAGGCTTATGTTCAGCAGTGGACTTGTGAAGGGCAGTAATGATGATGATGATGATCAAATAGTATTTAATAAATTCAAAATATATTAGTGTTTGACTAACCATTGTTGAGGCACTGATTTAACTCTTGCTTGGAGACGAAAAAATTGTAAGGGACCAGACGAAAACGTAATATGGAAGTATCTTATGAAAAAATATAATTCATAGATATGTAATGTCCGAAAGCACGAATTGAAATAACGGGATGGACTCTTCCTAGCTCCAAAAGTGCACTGAGTAGGGAGAGTTACCTCGTAGTACTATTATTTATTCTGTGCACATGCGC